CTGGGGGTAAAGAGAGGTAAGGCTGGATCATAGATGGCACAGCAAGCTTGCTGAATGGCTGAGACTTAATTTGATCAGTCCTAAACAGTGGAGTGTTATTTAGGACAATTAATCTGGGAGCAGTGTGGCTGAATCAAATAACTCCTCCCCAAGGACACCCCCAGGGAAGCACCAGGCTGTCACTGTGCTTTGCACCTTTGTCCTCTCTCGCCAATCATGGCTGCCTTTGGCTGAGCTTCCTGTGATGCAGGAAGCTGCAGGCTTCACTAGGGTCACCTGCTTATTTAACGTGGTCCTTTTGTTCTGCACTGGGTTATGAGGTTTGAAGCAGACCCCCTGAAGCTGAGGTCCCCTACTGTGCCCAGGTGCCATTGAACATGTAGGGGCTGTGATGCTTCTGGACAGGGAATACACGACTGGGTTTTCACCTGGTCTAGTGGACTTCTAGGGAGGGGAGGCCGACCTAACCTAGCCCTGCAGGGCCACTGTGATCTTGGCTCAAGAAATCTCAGCAATCATCCATTCCTCCTGTCCCCCTGCAGCCCCTTAACACAGCTTACAGCCACGTAAATTTTTCTTTAGGATGAATAAAATACCACAGGACATGTTCAGAGGACTGGTTTTTCTCAATCACCAAGATCACTTCATTTCTGCCCAGAAGCCTCTTGCAGGCCTCTTCTAGGGAATACTAGCGAGTGGTGAAAAATTAAAAGAAATAACCATGAATAGGAACGTTGAAGGATAAAGAGGAATACTTAGCAACTAACTATCAGTGTTAAATGTTCACTGGTATTGTTTAACAGGAGTTTTACTTGAAATTTTCTTTATTCTATAAAATAATTTTTTAAATGGGAATGTCTAAAAGTAAAAAAAAAAAAAAGCATAGAATTTATACAGTCCCACTTCATGACTGTATAGAGACTAACAATTCACTTTCTCATTCCTGGAAGGAGACGGCTTGTGACAACCGTGACATGTGTGCCTGTAGTTCCAGCTATTAGGACAGCTGAGGTGGGATGATTACTTAAGCTGAGAAGTCTGAGGCCAGCCTGGGCAACATAGCAAGACCCTGCCTATAAAATAAATAAATAAAAAATCACATCCCAAGACAAAAAGCCAGTGACAAAATGTTTTGTCATTTCCAAATGTATGTACTGATGGCCCATAGAGATGAGCTCAGAGGGTTTGTTTGTTTGTTTGTTTTTAAAAATTAGGGCTGCATAGGCAGAATTTAAATCTGTCCTTAACCCTCATCACTGGGAAGCCTTGTGGTGGAAATCACAGATAGATTTATTTATTTATTTACTTGAGACAGAAGTCTCATTTTGTTGCCTTCAGTAGAGTGCCTTGGTGTCACAGCTCACAGTGACCTCCAGCTCCAGGGCTTAGGTGATTCTCCTGCCTCAGCCTCCTGAGTAGCTGGGACTACAGGCGCCCACCCAATGCCTGGCTATTTTTTTTTTTTTTTGTTATTACAGTTTGACCGGGGCCAGGGTCAAACCCGCCACCCTCGGTATATGGCGCCAGTGCCCTATTCACTGAGCCACAGATGCCACCCAGAAATCACAAATTTATTAGTGGAAATAAAACACTTAATGGGTAATTTACAGAGCATATAATAAAGGAACAATTGCAAAGCTCTTGGTAGGTTTTAGGGAATCCAGTTTTTTAGGAATAGCACAATATCCAGGCACTCAAAAAGGCAGGGAGTTGTTACTGCCTGTAGGTCTAAAGAGGCAAGGGAAAAATGGTTACTGGAATGAGAAGAGGGCGACTATATTTATTTGCTTGGGCTCCCATAAAGTACTACAGAGTAGCTTAAATACAGAAATTTATTTTCTCATGGTTCTGGAGGCTGGAAGACCAAGCAGGGGGTGTCTCCTGAGGCCTCTGTCCTTGGCTTGGAGACGGCTGTCTTCTCCTTCCATCCTCATGTGGTCTCCTCCGTGCATGTACATCCTTGTTCTAATCTCCTTTTCTTCTGTGGACACCAGGCCTGTTGGATTAGAGCCCACCTGTATAAATTCATTTTACCTTAATTACCTCTTTAAAGGCCTATTGCCAAATCACCTTATGACCTACTAGGGGTTAAAGCTTTAACATAAGAATTTGGAGGGGACACATTCAGCCCTTAGCACTGGTGCAATTGTCATGACAGGAGCTGTGGATTTTGGTAGAGATCTGGAGAGACAAATGGAAGAGTTCTAGTTTATTGTGCCTTCCAGAATGTCTACATTAGTGGCTGAGACTAATTTAGGTGCTGGGATGCTAGTAATAATTACCATTTGTAGAGTGCTTACTCTGTACCTGCCATTATGATATGCCTTTTCCGTGTTAATTCATTTTAATCCTCAAAACCATCCTAGGAAGTAGGTTTATTAACTACATATTAAAAATGAAGACTTGGAGAGTTTTTTTTGTTTTTTTTTTTGAGACATAGCCTCAAGCTGTAGCCCT